TAGTGGTCGCTTTTCTAATATGCTGGTCGCCAACATTTGTATTGAGCATTTGGCGAATTGCTTCTGGAACGGAAAGTATCTATCAAGGACATGTACTTTATGAGATTGCCTTGTTTGGAGGACTTATCAATGAGGCCACAAACCCTGTAATATATACCACATTTGATAGGAACATGACCGTTGGTCAGAGCATCGGCTGTTGCCGGCAACGCATATGTGATAGCTGTCTCAACGAAGGAACCCCATCCAACCAGCAAAGCACAGAACAGAATCGTCTTAGCTGTAGAGCGTCTAATAGGCAATTGGATTTTGTAAACTGACATTTTATACTAGGCTTTTTTGAGTGAAGTTTATTCTACATTTCCTACCTCTCCCTCAACCCTTACAAAGCAGTTGTTTCAAACTCTGAAGTTTGAAAAGGCACTTACAGAATCCTATCTCATGGAGATGTTCAGCAAACAGCTGATGGGTAGTTAATTACTCTTGTGCATGTGACTTAAGGTAATGGACTTTTTTGAATAACGCAATCAACACTTTTTTTACAGAATTAAAGAGCGAATATATTTTAACTTTGTTGATTTTTTGAAGAAAAAAGACCTGAGCAAAGGATTTCGCTTTGGTAACCTCTGATAAATCTATGACCATGCAGCCATCGACTACTTTTTAAGTTTCAAAAGCTTTTATTTAAAAAGCGTATCTAGTAATATTACTTTTTTAAGAATTTCTACTTGTAAATTGGGCTCCCTTATAATTATGATATAACGATCTACACGAATAATTATTCAGTGTGAAGCATTTTCCCATTATTTGTCATCAGCTAGCCGACGCAGATGGCAGGATAAGCGGGCCAAACGGATGAGTAACTTTTATTAATAGTTTTCTGGCGGCGGAGATGCAAGAAAATGTTGCCAAAAGGTAACCTGGGCTTAATCCGGCCAGCTATATACGTCGGTTTGTTAACGTTTTGCCGCGATCTACAACTAATGAAATGAAGGATGTTTTCAGTCATTAGGAATGAAATGAAAGATTCACAATCCTTTTTTCTTCACTGCACTCGCTCATCACAGTTTTCCTTACAGACTCTAAAATGATGATAAGACTCGAACTGTAAAAACCAAAGAGTATAATAGTAGGCAGGGGCACCCAACGAGAACATAGTTCAAAATCACTTAAACATAGCATTGTTAAACGTATTTTAGTATTTAAACGGTACATATAGGCATATATTTATCCCCTAAAAATTTTTGATCTGTTCGGATTTCCTAGCTGAAAGACTAGTGATCCGAAAATAATAGGGGTCAAAACTTACTTTTTCGAAAATTTCAGCCAGAAAAAACCGGAATTTCTAGGTGAACTTTTTGTGTAAAACCGTTAAAAATAGGCAATGGCACCATTCTTTACATGTTGGAAACTTAAGAGGTGAAAAAGAAATTTACACAAATGTTCTGGAAAATTTAGGACCCAAACCGCCTTCCGAACATTCGAAATGTTAAGTCTCTGAGTAGGTAATCATCTGCGTTATATTTCAGCAGCATAATTATGATGATACCGTTGATCGGCGAAAGCTTGGATTTTAGATGTTACTTTTCTAAACAGCAGTTCAAGGCCTCACAAGAAATATTATATTTATAATAGTAGGTTTCACTGCTAATGTTGATTTTTCTTCTCTGTTTTGAGATTGCGCCGACGAACTTGCAGCATTTTATTGCCTTGCTTTAACCGTAGACGTAATAATATCAGGCCACCCCACCGTAGTACAAACGAGGGGAGGGGGTAGAATGAGATAAGCTGCGAGAACGATACTTGCGCTAATGCAAGATACATAAATAATTACTTTGCATCATCATCTCGTAACCATAGTAACTGATCATCACTAAACTTGTCTCAAAATGTGCGCGATTTGCCGATGTTTTATCATCTAGGAAAAAACAAAAAAAACCTACGGCGGGGGGGGGCAGCCACGCCCCCCCCGTCTTGTTGTACGTCCGAAACATCATCTCCTTTTTCGTTGTTTTCTTCTATTGATTCATTCAACAGTTCAGTTTAAATGAAGAGCTGTGAGGCAGGTTACCCTTCTTCACGGAGCTGTTATTTTAAACCCTATTCAGACCGGAAGGGCTTTTGAACCGCAATCCCCACTCCTCCTACTACTTCTCCTTCACACCAACAAGCTAAAAAACTTAAAAACCGTTCAAGCTATGACTGCCAAACTTTGGGAATTTTCCTACAATTCATCTTCGAACTTTAAAAGTCGCTACCATAGCAGCTGAGTTTTGACAGCCATGTTTTTTGTAAATTAATTTTTCTATTAAAATAGGTTTATTTCTATTTTTCATTATTATATTTTTGTTTGACTTAAGTTAACACTGTTTATTAATTTTTTTTAGCTATTAATGTAACTGAGGCTTTTTAGTGACTAATATGAGAAAAAAAGGAATTTAAAAATACCAAATGGCATATGCTGCGTTCATTTCCTTTAGAATTTCATAAACGCAGATTTTTTGCTTCCTAAGTAACAATATCCTTTTATACTCAGATCAAGTCTTCTATCATGACAAGTACCTCGATTTCCTGGATTTCTATGGGTCTTAAGATAAAACGAATACATTTAATTCGTTCGAGGTGAATTTTAGTCAAATTTGTATTCTGCCAATAAATTAAACAATAATGACGTCATAATGACGTCAAATTACGTTATTTTGTCAATCTAGTTAATGCCGAGATGTTGGAAATGATGAATACACTATTCTAAGTAATTTTGCTCAAGGTAGATGTATCATGGGCGGTCGTAGGCAACACCAAAAACAACAGTTTGAACAGGGTTAATTGCAGTATAGCTCAAAATTTCTATAATTAGCACCAACTGCTTCTATTATATGATATGAATAAGTATATCTTCTTCGTAGCTGTCATTTACGTGGCAAACGATACTGCTTGCTTTTGATTTAACTGGTGACTTTTAAATCCTTGGTAACTCCCTTTTTGAAGCTGCAAAAATAAATAAATAAGCGTTAAGGTTTAAACTAATGACCAAATTAAAATGGCATTTTTCCCATTTTTAAATCCTTGGTAATTCCCTTTTTGAAGCTGAAAAAAATAAATAAATAAGCGTTAAGGTTTAAACTAATGACCAAATTAAAATGGCATTTTTCCCAATCACATGCAAAACCCTAGCTGGTAGAATCACAGGTAGCCCAAGCTCGAAATATGAGCTTCAGAGAACATCGGCATTGTTGTGTAACATTCGAAATATAAGGATTTGTATGGGGAAAAAAACCTATCGTTTCTGTTACCTAGGAAAAAGAAAGGATTTCAATAAAAGACAGCAGTACCTTCCTTAAATTGTGTGTTACGTCTCTCCTGTGTGGTCCACGGGCCGATTCATGGCCGTTTTAAGGGTTTTTATGTCAACGATTTTCTCTCTATATAAAGGTTTACCAAGGTTGGGCACTCCAGCGAAGCGGCCCGATTGAACCAATATCAATACCCGAGAAAGACAACAACGGGAGCAAGAGACTGTGTCCCACCCCGAGTGTGAGTAATTTGAGTCTCAGGCGGTGTCGCTATCTTTCAACGGTAACGCGGAGTCCAAGCCAAGGTTCAGTCGATGGTTTCAGAGGTGAAAGGTTGCAGAGATTTGCGACCTTTGATTCGCTCTCGGTGCAAAGGCGTCTTGAAGCAAGATAACAAATGGAAAGCAGAACTATCGTGTGTTACCGAGGCAGAATTTGGAGGCGATTGGAGCAGTTGGAGCGAATTTACGGCCATTTTTCTTCGGTGGATCTTTATATTTCGAATGTTACGCAACAATGCCGATGTTCGCCGATGCTCATATTTCGAGCTTAGGCTACCTGTGGTAGAATGTTAATTATTCCAACCACAAAATAATACTTGCGCAAGGAAAATGATATATTAACCCTCGGACGTACCCTTAACCCTTCTAAAGTTTTTCTACTTTTTTTCCTAGACGATAAAACACCGGCACCTGAAGTTTTCTGTAGCTGTTCGTTTATCCTTCGCTAGCCTGCGAAAACATCCGTTTTTCCTCGCTCTTCGCCGCCCGGGACGTTTCGCGCGGAGAAACGTCTGCGACCTAGGTGAAGAATTTCGATACAGATGACGCAAGTCAATGTTTGTCCAATTTTGCGTATCTTTTGGTAGATTTCGGTAAAGTGTTGTGTTCATCTGCCAACGAGCTTCAGCAAAACTCGAATGCTTCTTTTAGAGAGGACTATATTCCACAAAAATTGACTGTCTTGTTAGAGATCCTTCGCGTTTGCATTTGACCTTTGTGGTCTTTTGTCTTCTATCTGTCATTCGTTAACAATAGCTAAAAAATGTAATTACTCCGTCGACCAATCAGCGCTTCTGACCTCATTTCTTACAGATTTTACGTCATCAATATGGAATTTCTGTCGCTGAGCCGCAGACGCTCCTCCGCGCGAAACGTCCCCAGCGGCGAAGAGCGAAGAGAAACGGCTATGTTCGCAGGCTAATCCTTCGCGCACATTTTGAGAAAAGTTTAGTGATCGTCAGTTACTCTGGTTACGAGATACGCCGTTATAGGTAGCAGGTGTTCAAGCCATTTTTGAGTGAAAATGCATGTTACTTCAAATTTTTCAACGACAAAAGTAAAACTTGTGGATAAAATGATGCAAAGTAATTATTTACGTGTTATTTTACATGTTAAGCGCAAAAAATATTAATTCTCACTGTTTTACCTGTTTTTAAATACTTGAGAAAATCCAAGATGGCGGCCAACATGAGGGCCATGTTTGGTGACGTCACAGACCTCCAGCAGCGCTACCACCCATATAATATACCTCATCTTGTAGAGAAGATCAAAGGCTTTCCACTGAAGGCAAAATCGTTTCGAAATATGGCAACTTATCAAAACCCCAGGGGGGATCCATCAACCCCTCTCTCCCCACCTTGTACCACTGTGGGGGTATGACTTTGCGTGTACGTCCGAGGGTTAAATTGATTTAATACTGATCTGATTACTGGCCAATAGGCGAACTAATCACAGTTTTTACCTCTTCTAACAGACTTTTAAGCCGTTTAACCTCTTCTTGAAGTTCAATGTTAGGAAGGCCCTCTAGGCGGACATCAAGCTCCTCATTCCCGCGTATCACGTGATTGGTTGGGAATCTGCCACATACTTCTTCGCTGTTTCTTTTCTTCAACGTTCTCATCTGCCAAAAAATAAAAACAAAACAGAATTTGAAATAAAATAAAACGATAAAAGATTAACAGCCTCTAATATTAATTCAGAGTGTTTACGCTATTGAGAAAATTTTACATGAATGACAAGGGCATCACTAACAGGAATCCATGGAAGGCATCAAAATGAACATTTATAGCACTCCTGTAAGGCTGAACTTATACTTATTTTCTTGTGTTTTTGTTTTCTTTGCTTGAAATTTTGAAAAAAATTAAATTCAGCTGCATTTTCTTGAGCACAAATAACTGGCTCTCAAGTACATGTAACTGGCACTCTAGTTAAAAGCACACCTTTGGAACGAAGACAAGGCACAAGGTCAAAGTTGTGCAAAATACAATGCAGCTGGTTATGACGTAGAAGCAAAATTCATACTGATGACTTCTGTGGCCAAATAGGGCAACTGGAACGCCTATCGCACAGACAATGAAGACATTGTACACAGCCATACCTATTTAAAAAATAATACGTATTTTAAGCATTGTGGAAATCAAATGTGGGCTTCAAGTAGTCGATTATCATACGAATTGCCGAAGTCACATGTGCATAATGGATACCTTTATCAATCAAGTTTTATGAAACTATAATAGAGAGAAGTGATGACGACACAAAAACTAAATTTGTGAAATAAGGGGATAGACTGGCATATCCAGAAAGAACAAGGAAAATGTTTACTTGGTAAAAATCAGTCTTCTACTCCATACAAATCCTTGTAAAATAATTAGTCCTGGATTGTATAAGTTTCGATCCGAGCCTATTAAAGTTTCGAATGGAGTTATCAGAGCAAAAAGCTGCTTATATCTCCCCACTAATTTCCACTAAAAGCCTAATTTTTGGCATGGATTTTTTTTTAAATCTTGTTTTCATGGCGCCCCCATGAATTAATACCTATCACTATAACTTGTACTTGCCAATGTAGTGAGAATCATTGAGAGTGACTATTTTGACTTTGCGAGTTTCCCAAGCAAGAAATAGGCCAAATATGAGAAGAATGCCCTTAAAACCATACACCACCAAAAGCCAAACGAACGGTTTGTTTGTCGTGCAATGAGAAACAACAGGTCTGTAAATTACATCCGCATGGAGTTCCTCTGCCTACAAAGTGAATGAATTGCTTTTAAATAGTAAATTTATGTCGTTAGTAAGTCTGATTAAAATTCTTGCTATATATGTCGCTCTTTATTCCCCACGTAGAAAATTGGTTTTCTGAGCTTCAGCAACCGACATTTACGTCCACTGGAACACATTCCTTGATTTCGTAGTTTAATTTTATTACTAGTACATAAAATCACGTTCTGCCTGTTTGTTTTTTTTTTTCCATTGTACCTCTTTTTTCAAGGCGCCCCTCTTATATGGAGAGCAAATTCATTTGATTGTTATTGTTCGTTGTTTTCTAACAAAGCGAGGCCTCTAGTCGTGCTTGTTAAGATGTACCATGAACCTGGGTTTTGATCACAGTGCAGCGTGACTTCATTGTTTGGCTTTGCATTTTTTCTCTGTTGCCTTGTTTTTTTGTTTGTTTGTCCAAAATTTAGTGAAATACAGTTCATTATATGCAACAAAATTCTCCCACAATTCGATTTATGTTCAGCTTTATATACAGATAAAAATTAACATTGTCATGTATAAAGAAGAGTACCTTGTCTGCAAGAAACATCTCGTCTTTCCGTAAGGGATCCATTATTGTCCACACGATTATAAGTACGATATCAACAAACAGAAAGACGAAGATCATACCAAACAAATGGATGTCTTTTATCACCTGTATATGAAAAATTAAATATTGCGCGCGGAGAATTTAATCTGAATTAACCAACAGACCCCGTTGGTTATCCTTGCAGGTTTAAGAACGTACGGATTGAAGATTAGCGACGACGAAAAAGCAGACACAGCAACGCGAAATGACAGCATGAAAAAGTCAACCTTCTACTGTATGTGTCACCGGCTGTATTCTCCGCCCCGCAAAATATTAATACCTTGGTGGGTGGGCGGGCTCCTATATAAAAGTGATGGGGGATGCTCGTCGTGCTTGTCGGAAAATTGAAATTGACCAATGTGGGTGTGGCTCAAGCTAAAACTGACCCTTAAGGGAGATTTCTGTGTGGTCTGTGCATTTTTGTAAATTTCTTTATGCACAGTACTATGCGATACCTGAATGGGCAAATGTAGTAACTTACCATCCCAAACATCCTAACTGAGACCTAAATCTGCAATTTACACCCCAAAGCGGGACGACGAGCATCCCCGTCACTTTCATATAGGAGTTCCTAAAGTAGGTGCCTATAATAACAGTCTTAAAGGAAACTTTCTTGAATTAGATAAAGGTTTTAAAATGAACAGCGGCAAATATTTACCCGTCTTCGAACTTTGATTTTCCTTGTAATTCTGTGAACACGCCATGTCTTTGAGAACAACGACCCAAATGCGACGGTAAAACCAATATCCAAGGTTATGACTCTTGCCTGAAAATATAATATTTGTTCATGTTTTTTGTTTGTTTTTTTTTTTTCAAAATTTAGCAGGTTAACTGAAAATAAGTACCCCGCCAAGTTGATGTTCCAGACCAGTCCTTTCTCTTATGTAAAAAGAAAACTTTGTGTTAATAAATTTTGTTAGCTGCTGATCTATTGAGTGAAAAATGGTCTATGACTTTTACGGCATGACGTCACGACGGCCATATTTGTGTATCAAAACAATTAAATGGTGAGCATCTTGCTGCACCCAGAAAATCCTGTAGGGTTTGAATTCTCCTCTCTGTAAGAACTTTATTTTGTTCCAAGAAATTTCTATAGCTGAAGACCGCCCGTGAGAAAACGGTCTGTTTGCTATAGGATGAAGTATGTTAATGAACAGATGATTGTTTTTCTGTTAGCCCGCTTACTTTTATTTTCATTTATTTTTAATTTCATGTTGTAAACTTCAACCTTTTGGCCATATCCAGCGTTTCACAAAGAGCGAAAGACACACAATCTTGTTATACTGGTGATGTTTCATGATATGACCTCAGCCTGCGTTTTTTTCATATCTTTTTGGTTAACTTCAGATGAGGCTTATTCTGTCCCTTAGCGTTGTTACTCGTAATAATAAGAAACCGTAGATCCATCGATTCATGCTTATTCCCTAAAAAAAAAAACATTGATTTCACTAATTGTTTAGTTGACTTAGTTGTGTTGCAATGTATATCGTTTAATCGATAGCAAGTTATAGTCATTAGCAAGATACCTTGCAAATGAGATTGGTAAGTTTGTCGCCATCAACAGCAAAGAGAATGGCCGAACAATATGCCAGAAAACAACCCACAATGATTGCGTTATTGATGTTAGGACTTGACATTTTAACGCACCTGAAATAAAAGTGTAAAGTGAAATGGGAACGAGAACAAAGGAAGGCATGAGATTACGATGCTGGTATGAAACTTTCATGTGCTCTCGCTTCGTTAGAGTGATAGTATGCAGACTCGGTAATGTAATGTCTAACAAGCAAATCGAATACAGATTACTACTCCTTTCTAAGACCGACTCCTGCAGGACAGGCATTGAATCAGTCTGTCTTGGACAGGTGTGTGTGAAATCCTGAAACCGGGTTTTGGAATTCAGACTTCAGCTTTAGGAACTCGGAATCCCGCCAAAAATCAGAATGCTAGTTTTGCAGTACCTGGAACCCGCATTCCAAAGCATGGAATTTAATATTTAAGACTAACTGCAAATACTATTTTCACTATCTTAAAAGTCGATGACCATCAACTGAAATTCACCACAAGCATAGAAAAAGGAAAACAAACAAACAAAAAACAGCAAGCAATTAGGATGCCGTTGGTACTGTCCTCAATGTTCCTGTTAAAACTTCTCGTGGCTCGAATATGGAACTTCTTTACTTGGTCACCAGTTAGTAGATCTTCTGCATTTTAAGCTTCACATGCAATTGAAGTAAAATGTTTATAGTTAATTCTAGCTATTTCCTTTTTTGCCTCACCTTTTTGTTCTGTTCATAATATTAAAATGTAAAAACCCGAGACAAAGGATAATTCCCAAGCTGCACAAGACGCATATCACGATAAAATTTCCTCGCGACAGTTGGATTAATTTAGCCTTGTATACGATATGATCCCTTGGTGACCTGCCATCTGTGTACAGCGGAGAAAAAAAGTAAGAAGAATTAAACTTAACCCGAAAGGTCAAAAACATATATCAGATAATTCCTTAACTCTACTGAAAGCAAGTCTGTTATCGTCACAAAGAAAAGCAACTGGGAAGTTCTTAAAGAAGGCTTTTTCTTATACTATTAAAATTTGTTTGTTTATTGTTAATTTTTTATTTGATAAAAAAGATGTTGTATTTTTACATTTTTTGCATTTTATTATGTTATTTTGTTAATCTAAATGAACATGGCTTTTTTTAGTGCGATCATGAGGACAAAGCAGACAGAAGTATAGAAATAAAACTTCATAGCTATCGCACTATTCAGATGAGACAATCACTCCTTTCCCCTTACTCCTTACGAAGGGATGGTGGATGCCTGAATTGATTTAGTCTGAAAAAAAAATTGTTTTAAAATGTTTTTTAATATCAGAAAGATCTTTCGAATTTTCCGTTGTTTTGGGTGTTTACCTCTCCATTTGAACTTCATGTTACCGTAGTAAGTAAGATTGTCTGCGTTTAAAGCATCATAAAGGGCAATGACTTCAAGATCCTTTCCTACACACAAATGTGGAAAGCATAATCCATTATACAATGAAGTGAATATTACGTACGCTGTGATGAGTCGTTGACCCATTTGCCTGTGGCTCGTGTGCCATTTTCCTGTCCTTCCCACATTTTGACGTCATCAGCGATCTTTTGCTGAACTGACGCACGGCAACATATAAGAATCTATTCGGAATTAATTATCTTTTCCTTGGCCTCTTTATACCTGCCTAATGGTTGACGTATGCAGTATACCTGAGCAAAACTTTGTCCATAGTTACAACTAAGGTAAAGTAGATCAATTACATCAACATGGTTGCAATTTGTTGTATTTGTAGGAAGAGGAAGGAAAACAATGACAGGCCGAAGTTTACCTCGTATTTGAAAGACTTCAAACATTCCAGTTCGGTCTCCATTGTTTTGAAGTTGAACTTCTCCCTGTAAAAACATTACACCTCAAATTCAAAAGAAAGAAGTAAGAAATTTACATATCATGCTTTTATAGTATCACAAACTAGTAATTCGTAAGTAGTATACTAGGTCCCAGGTCATGTAAATTCCTCAACAAACTCTTCGACTTTCTTTACTTATTAAGTATTCTTGCGCATTAGAGTTGTCAATAGATCTCTAAGGCAACCGGACCACTTGCTCTATTTAGGAACGTTCATTAAATTAATCCGCCGAAGGTGAGATAGCTATTCGGGAAAACCTCATTTCAGTTTAAAAATACTAACCGTTACGCCTTTAAAGTTCGTTTTCAGCAGGCTATTCTTGATCATATCTGATGACGAATAATCTGTTTTTATGTCAAGTAGTTGAACATTTGACGATTCACCGTTTGACATATTTATTGCAAGTGCCACCAGCCACGCAGCATCAAAACCAAAAGGTCCATAGTGGGAAACTGAAGTGTTCTTACGTTTTGAAAATGCTTCATAGTTATCTAAAAACTGTCGTGGAGTCTGTTAAATAAAAGAAAATAATGATAATGATTTGAGGTACACAATAAACATCACGCTCCATTACTGACTTTTTGGATCGACTGTTTACAATTAAAGAAATTTAATTTCAACCAGACAGAACGGTGAACTGCCTAGTTTAACTATAACTGCAGCAAAAATGAAAAACTTATTAGAAAAGCGTAAAGTTCACTTTAAGGTGTTGATCGCAGCAACAATCCAGCTTTAAAATCGCCATTTTTAGCATCCGGGACATACCTGGCTATATACAGTGTAAAGGGGTAAGGCATTTCAAATCCCAAACATGAAATAGTTAAAACTACCTATATTATCTTGAGCTTTGAAACATTCTTGTTAAGCCTACAGCGTTCATTTTTGCTGCTTCGCGAGTTAATAGACATTATTCACGATAAACGCTTTGCATTCGCTTAAAGACTGATGGGATGAAAGCGAAGTCACGTGACTTCTCAGGGCAAACAAGTGGCAAAATTTGCTAATACAATAAGTCGTAGTCTGGTGTATTTTCAGGGTACTCAGCTTCCCGTTGCTAAGAGACACAATTCAACACTTTTCGCAGGATATGATCAGTCGGATGGCTGACAACTGTGCACTTCCAAAAATGCCAGGCAGACCCAACCTCCGATACCAAGCTTTTTCATTCTTCGACATGGTAGGGTGACAGTAATACCAGTCGTGATTGGTGCATCGTGGGTCAGTGGATTCTTCGAGAACTTGGTCTTGATACCTTTCCACCTTCTCCTCAGTTAAAATAGGATATTTTGGTCCGCTGGCACAGCAATGTCGATAACTGTCCACTCCTGTGATTTTGAGTGCTACCGTAATATCTGTTCGATTGTGCTTCAGTCGCTTGTCCGTAAATATAGTCGTATCCCAAGTTATCCTCACTTCTTTGATCTCTGCAATTAGTAAGGGTTGATGGTTGTACCACTTGTCGGTACATTATTATTATTAACCCCTACTTCCTGCAAAGCTCCCATTGTACCCGTAGGGCCAACCTATCTAGTACCAACCTAGTCGCGGCGCTTCTGGGCAAGCTTCCTGCTTCCTCTGATAATATGCCAAACTCTTTCAGTGGAGTCAACACACAATCTGCGCAGTGGTGTCTCAAATGTCTTATATTATATCTATGCTGTGCTTGACCCAATTTTTTCTCAAAGCTTGTTTTAGAGCAGCGAGCAGCGAGCAGCGACGATCGAGCCCTATGTTCCCTTCTTAAAAACAAAACAAACAACAACAACAACAAAAACATTCTTGAGCATCTCCAGGACACCTCTCTAGCTGCATCCGACGTCTGCCGAGCAAACTCTCCATGTATGGCTTTTTCCTTCCAGTATTTAACAGTATCATGATCATGATCATTATCAATATAAATATCATTATTTTATTCTCAAAACAACAGAAACTAAGGACCATATTGGTAAATTATGGGTGGAAGTGATCATTTTTTTTTATTATTATTTCTATTTTTGGTTACGGTAGCGACATAAGATGCCCTAGCAGCAAGCAATAAATTACGTAATAATTACTGGTATTGGCACATTTTATCACTTGTTGGCCCCCCTGAAAAGCGCGAGCAAAATTGCCGGGTACCGTGCATACCGTCTATTAACAAAACAACGCAGCCCGCCTGTATGCATCGTACTTACCAATCCAGATATAGTTGGATCTTTGGACTTGCTTAAATAAAGATGGTCAATATGAATTGTATATGCGGCTGCGTCGTTAACCTGGCTAGCTGTGCAGTCAAGAAAAGGGTATGTTCTTGTCCACCATCCATGCGCGTCGGGAGTGTGGACTACCCAGCCGTACTTATTACCATACAACTTGTGCTTGTAAACCTTTTAAAAGAGAAACCACGGAAAAACAGCACTATTACATGTTGGAACTGATAACTGAGACTGTTGTGACCTCTCAATGTTTTTCACTCCCACCTGCCGTTTAAGATTTTCACGTCCATTAAAAACGGGGGGAAATCTATATATAATTTTTTTTTTCTTTTTGATGGTTGTGAAATACTTAAGGATTGTATGCTTCAACTTCACTTTGTTTTATTTCATGTCGCTCACGAATCATTGATGGAATTGACTTAGATTATAGACTGTGGTTAATATCCGCCTTAGCTGGATGGATGGCATTACGCCCAGTTTCCATTTCATTTGGGAAGCAAATAGTACGTAGCAAGTGGCGTTTGCTATTTGCCATTTGGTGTGTGAAAGTGGTGCTAGACCTCTCTAATATCGTGAGTTTTTAAAGTTATGCGCTTTTATGCCCTTTGCTTATTACCAAACACATCACACTCGTTGTCTTCTGTAAAAAGGCGAATATAATCCTCGCATCAATATCCTGTAAAAAGGAAAACATAGGTTATAAAGAAGTTAGTCAAAATCATGTCCCTCTAATAGGCTTCTTTCACGTTGTTGAAATCGGAAACTTTCCAAGCAAAACAAATACATCTATATGCAACACCAGTCACTTAGTTTATGAAACCAAGAGAGAGCTCATTCTCAGTCTTGATAAAAACCTTTGCGCTTTGCGGCACTTACATTCATACATGTTCAACAGTTCGGGAGTATGCCAGTTTTGGAAGAAGCGGTGACGTCATGATTCCATTGTTCTGCTAAAAACACGCAAAAATAGGAAAAAATAATCGCAAGAAACAAGGGAGCTTTTTTCAAAGCCTGTTCCAGGTCTCCTTGTTCAATAACCGGGACTTCCGAGCTAGCAGTACCGATGAAGAGGCCTTCTCCTTGCTTTTTGAATGTCAAGGGAAGTTTCCGGCCACATTTCGGTAGTTAAAAGCGACAGTTTTCAAATGGCCTTCGACGCCGCCGCCGCCATCTTGACGGGCATCGAATGTAAGTACATGACTTTATGTTTAGTTTTCAGTATCTTGCCGAATTTTTACGAAATCAAGACTAATTTTCCTCAAAACTACAACATGTAAAGTGTGTTCAGGCAAAGTTTCATCGATGGCAACAACCTAGTAAAAATGGCAACCACACATTGAAAATTGCCAACGGACAGGAAGGGTTACTGATATTGATGGTTATGCCTTAGTCTGTCTATGTAGTTTTAGTTATAATCGATCAGGTCTGTTTTTGGTCGTGTTCACCGGCAATGTATGCGACTCTCACCTAGAAATCACTTTATTGATCCAGATCATGTGTGTGGAATGAGTTTTAAATCAGTGTGAGTAGGTTCTTATATTGATTTCTTTTATTTTGATCAGGATTTCCGTCAAAAATGTAGACAAACATCTGGAGATATTACAAACATGTTGTCGCGTTTGTGCCAAAAAGCTGAGAAAAGGAACCAGGAAGACAAAATGCTAAATATCTTCAGAACGACATATTTGTGCTCTGAGGGCAAAATATTGCTTTCGGTTCGCCTTATGTTCCACTGTAATGAAAAATTTAATGTCCAAATTCAACCCTGCCTCAATAAAATTAAACATGTTTTTTTTCTTTCTTTGTAGTGTGGTCACAGGCTTACCCACCACAAAAGCCCCTCCTTTGACGCTTTCAAAAATGGGTAAGAGGGAAACAGGTTGGAGGGGGGCTTATATACCTTGTGAGTGGAAGCTCACGCTCAATGACCATTCAACCATAGAAGAGACTGTGGCCCTTATTCAAGGGGCTTTAAAGGAGATAGATGAGGAAGGAGTCATGGAAGTGGAGGCTTGTGAAGATTTTCTCTACATAATGTTCAATCCCTCGCGTCAAATATTGTTTATACTTTACATAATATGTTCAGTCCCTGTGCTGTGCAAAAGGTCAATCTGAAACATGAAAAATGCCACACTCTCCCCCATCAATCCCTGTGCATGAGCAATAAACCCACATTTGATGTCATAATATCGAATATGTGTGTATTTGAATAAATCCTAAATTATTGAGATTCTGTTGATGAAAAAGCATCTATGTTAATGCATCGTCTTCAACAAATCATCCTCCCTAATAAATAATACTTGAGAGAAATCTCACAAGATAACTACTGAAAATCGATGTCAGCTGCTACTGTCTTCATTATATCAATTAAGTTTTGGTTTTTGGTTTTCATGTCCAAGAAGGCGTTAAAAAAACAAGATTTTGAGATAAAAGAGTGTGTTTAATATGCGAGCCAGCGAGCCATGGCAGCGAGTCATGCAGGTCAGATACGACTCATTGAAAATGATACATAAAAATCAAAAACAGTAATACGGAAAGAATTAACTGTCAGGACCTAAAATAAAATGTTTATTTACAAAAAATAAAATGTAACAATAAATAACTTTTAATGTATCTTTACTCTGATGTGTGAGCTTTGTTTTCTTGAAAGTGCTGTTCAATGAAAACATGAAGAACCGGCTATGAAAAAGAACTTTGGAAAACTTATGTTGTGTCCATGCCAAGTGCAGTAATCATTATTATTTTGGGCCAAACCTTGTCTAATAGAATTGTTTGAGGGTCCCCACAGAGAAGACTTGGAGAAAAGTACTCCTCAAAGTTACAATGCCTTAGGTTTATAGGCAACCCCAGAGTTAAAAACAATAATTTAGTATTATTCGGATGTAACATCAAATCCCATACAAGAAGATATTTTATAACAAACCATAACCTTGTTGATCTCTGACCTCTGGTCAAATCCGGTGGACTTCAAGACTATAGTATCCCATTTTAATCAATAGATCCAAAATCATGTAACAAGCATAATTCTTAGTTTTCCAATATGTATATTAAATTCTAAAGAGCCTCTTGCATTTGTTAAGCTTGACCAAATAATCAGTGAACTTCAGAAAGTGGAATAATTGAAAGCAATAGGTTTTTTTGAAACGGGACAAAAAAAAAAATGATCAGGGATGATAAGTAAGATTTTCACTTGGTGGGTTTTCAAGAAGAAAACGCGGGCACAATACCCTCAGAGATCCCTTGTAAACCTGTTGTATACCTGGACGGAACCGCTTCAAGACATAAACCAACAGAACATCATATTCGAAAAAACTTGTTAGCGTGCTTACCTATTTTCGATGTACTGATTACATACGCAGTGAGTACGCAGTGCCTACTAAAGCGCGCGATAAGCGAAGAACTATAGCGCAAGAATGGTTACTCCTTGTCCTCAAGGTACTTCCCAATTCATAGTAACGAAAAGACAAATAAAAGGCTCGATAAAACAAGAATAAACGAGAATTTTGGTCAATACTATTTCCTCTGCTCTCCCTTGTCCGCCATTTTGTATGTTTTGAAAATGACTATCGCCATGGTGATCATGTTATGGTTGGTGACGTAGACCATTGTTTTCGCTTCTTCCAAAACTGGCATACTCCCGAACTGTTAAAATGAGTGTTTGCCAATCCGTGTTTGTATTTGATAATCTGTGATAGTTGAAAACGGTTCAATAGGGAGTCTAACCAGCGATTTTTTTGAGCGACGCACATCAACCGGAAGTGGACTTTTAGCACTCTAGAGCCAAAGACATTTCGCACTCTAGAGTAAAGACACTTCGCAGAACAAATTTGGCAGCGTTAAGGCATATAAAAGAGAAAAAGTGTCACTTCCTTTTTTTGTGCGTCCCTCAAAAACGTCGCTGCTTAAAATCCATCGTTGTATGTGATTTATCCTCCTTTTTTAGATTCCTATTCTCTGCTTTCGAAGTGCTCAAGACTTTCGGCTTCCCCTTTCTTTACCTCTATTGGGACTGTTACTGTTGTCTTATTTTTCCGTTAAACCATCCTTCGTAATGTCACATTTCTTGTAGCGCATTCGCCTTAGTACATTTTTTTATCTTGCTCTACCAAAGCAATCCTCTCCTTAATTCCAAAACTGAAACTATTGAAAAACGCAGCTGAAATCATAGTTAGTGATCACCTTGATGTGCTTAAGCTGGTTCTCTGCATCGTTTGTATCTGCATAGCTCCCATAAGACTTCACAGTGATATTGTTTTGCTCACATTGGTCTTTTAAATCAGATGCAGCCTTAGATTTTGAAAGAAATGAAATGTATGAACATTCTAACAGTTCAAAATGTATTTGTCATTACTGCAAATATCTATAGACGGGAAAAAAGGCTTAGATGAGATCGATGATTTGATAGTTGAAAGGAATTAGAAGGAACATCAACGATAAATATAAATGTAAAGAATAATGTTAATATCAACACAGAAAGAATAAAACCTGAATTTGAAACTGTTTGCAATCGCATAAAGGTAATATGACAAAAATTGTACTTCATACCTTCATATACATATCTCTGCTGAAAAATAATATTGACACTCTCTTCCAATGGAATGTCTTTGCAAGAGCCACAAACGCTGATTTCGATGCAGAAATTGAACCAATTGTACGAAAGAAATAAGGATATTTATTTGAATTAGAAAGGTCACCACTCTCTGCAGAAGCGGACATCTAGGCAAAAAAAAAAAAACAAAGAGCTGAGTTGCATTATCACTCTCAGTCAATGGTCAGAGACGGCTTTTAAAGAAAGACCTCTATATTGTCATACTAGAATGGATGACGACAGTTGGAATTTAGAATACCAAACGTTAAGCCGTGACTTGACGTAATGGCATCATATTATCTACGGATTCCATCATTATTTAAATGTTCGTCGTATTGATTATGCCATCTTGGATTTCGTCGTGTCAAGAAATTAATAAGATATTAAAAACTCCACTTATATTGACGAGCGAGTATTTTATTTCCATTTCAAGTTCTAAGTTTGTTATTAGTAGTAGCATTTCATGAAAAATTAAATGTTTCCAGCTAGGAAAAGTCGTTACTGTTTTAGACACGCGTTCAGCTTCTCAAATCTACTTTTTGGGTTAAAATAAGACGTGATATGTCACATTGTTAGCCCCTTGGTTTGAAAAGCATCACTGTACTAAGAAAATGATAACTAACCTGAATAATTTTCCAGTATTTTGCAGTGTCTGCTACAGAGAGTGCAACATTTGACCTTCCAGGTCCTAAAATCAGTGATGGTCTTTGTTTGGAGATATAATCATAAAGGATTTTGTTCCCGAGACCAGTCTCTCCCTTTTAGAGACGAAGAAGAAAGAACTGAATACAAGTTACCTCCGATTTACGTTATTGTTTAACCGATAACATAATAGTTACCGCATGGCCAGAAATTTGGAACCACTAGGAGCGGACCTTCATCATATTCCACTCGGTAATTGGTTGGCCGTGTTCTCTTTCGTGAGACTTCACGCAACAGTCTCACTGACAAAAAAATTTGGCTGCTAAAATAATAGCTTAGTCAATTCCAAGCGTACCCATCCTTCCCGGGCATTTGTCATTTTGTTTTGGACAAGTTAAAAATGCCCCAAGGTGGGGCCGGGCTTTCATACAAAAACCCCGGCCCACAGTGGGGCTTGAAAATAGGGTGCAAATGCCCCAACCTCGGACAACACCAAAATTGTATTTTCCAGTAAATAAACTGCAAATGCCATATTTATGGGAAATCCCTAATAATATGATCAAAACGAGTGAAGCAACCTACGCAATGCAAATCGCTCCCTTGCCGCTAGTTGTAATCATTCCAAAAAAGATCACATCCATCTGATTAATATCAATGACAGAACTACAAACTATAATTTTAATTATACCTTCCTTATTTTCGAAGACCTTTAAGGTGAATAATAAACAAACAACCGACGACCTTAACATGACTTTTTTCTCATCACGATGGAATTGTTTCGTCAGCGTGGTAATTGTCGCATTGATCGTACCTACACAAAGTTTATATTAGCTTTCAAACATTTCGCAAAGTTTTTCTAGGGCTTTCTGCCTCAACTATTCACGCATAGAGCAAGTGTCTTTTCCTTTAAACTCTTCAAACGATACATTAATTTTTTTCCTCCACGTGCGAACTGATCACAATAGCGGCAACCAATTTCTTAGACGGATGCAAAAAAATACTGTGGGATAGGGAAGTGATGGAGCGAAAACCACACATAGCCCTTTAAAGCATAATTATTAAAAATATTCTTAATAGAAATATCTAAAGCTATCTAAATAGGCATATTTCGAAGTGAAATGTTGAAAAAGGAACGAAGTTAACCGCTTCTTGAAGAATTGACCAATGCCCCACCCCCGGGCAGAGGTTTTCTGACAAATTCCCCGCCGCCGGGACCGACACGATGACAAATGCCCGACAAATACCCGGAGGGGAGATGGGCACGCTTGAGATTGACTGAGCCATAAGCACATCAGATCACTAATATTAGCCCCGATTTCCGACAATTTTCCCTGAAAAATCCGCTTTTTTAAGTCCTTTAGATGCTATTCTGCTCATCTGGTGTAAATTTTGAAATTCACCGTCACTGAGAAGCTACTGTTTCAAGCGGCTCTAAAATCAAGATCGATGTATCAGGCATTGAACACACACAAAAATAGCACGAAAATAAAGAGTTATGGGTGGTAAGGTTCCGAATTTCTGGCCATGGTGTTATACATAATTATTTTGAGACTCCTCCTGCTGATTTTAGGTGCACTGACTTGTAAAGTTTTATCTAATACTGATAATGTATGCCTCTTGAAGAAGTTTCATCGTACAAGTATTACTTGTGCACGGATATTGATTATCCAATGAAGAACTTACTACCCAAAACAACCTGAAACTGAAGATAAATTAACTGACTAAATTCATGAAAATCTTCATTCACACAAACCATTTTTTCTTACCAAAAAATAGCCCACATTTCGAATTTCAAAGCATGTATTTTCTAATCCGTAAACTGGCATATTTGGAAAGCATTTTTCGTATCCTCATGTTAGTTCTTTTGGCGGAAACATGCAGAGTTACCAAAGATCTCATGATATTGAAAATACAATTTGGCGCAACCTCCGGTATACATTTTAAGGAAATGGTGAGATCGACACTGGTGCAAAATATCAGATGAACTTTTAAATTAAAACACATACACAGATTTTTAAATCAAGATAGATAATGAATCCGGTGTTTCCGATACCGTTAGTTCAGTACAAAATGCCTCATTTATTGTCATTATTATCTTTATCACTGACCATTTTCTATGACTACGAATTGAACTAAAACAAAGAAGGAATTTTTAGTAAAAAAACGATACCACTATGAAAACAGAAAAAGAAAGCTTTGAAATCGATAAAAGCTGAAAGTTTGCGTGATCTAGACCTGCTACTGAAAAGCCGACACCAGGAACTTTAAGTGTGGTATTTAAGTCTTGCTTAGCACACAACCTCCGTGAAAAGTAAAAAAATGGTTTGAATCCAAATAAAACGTGAATATATTTCCAACCTTATGTTTTCAATAAGCCGTGACAATTATGTTTAATAAAAAAGTTTAAAATAACTACTCAAGTTATATTACGTAGCGTCAGATTACTCCTTGATATCATATCTTAATGCTAGGAAATTTAGTGTATTTTCTTTCTTGCGATCCTGACAACTAACCTGTTTTCCCACCACCTGTCTAAGTGCATATGTATTCTAAATTTTGACCTTTGGCGCTTTTCTGTGTATCTCTAGAACGGCTCGACAAAATTTTTTTAAAACCGCTTCACATAATCTTCACGATGTATATAGTAATGACAGAAACTTTCATCAAGATTGATTCATTGCAACACCTTAAAGTTTCAAGACGAACTTAAATTTAAGGATTGATAAATATGCGCTTAGACAGGTGGTGAGAAAACAGGTTAGTTTTCAGGATCGCAAGAAAGAAAATGCACCAAAATTTCCTAGCAATGGCATACGAAATAGTAATTTGAGTTATTTAGAACTTTTACATCAAATATTTTATGATTGTTATTAAAATATAGGTTTTAAAATATATTTATGTTTTATTTGAATTGAAAAAAAACAGAATATTTTACTTCTCACAGAGGATATTAGCTAAACACCAAACTTTAAGTTCCTGGTGTCGGTTTTTCACTAGCGGGTCTAGATCGCGCAGATTTGAATTCGTAGATTTGTCATAGTGATATTGATTTTTATTACTAAAAACTACATTTTGATAAACTTCAATTTATAGTCAATCAATGGTGAAAATTTTATAGCGATTGGACAAGGATAAAATGACTTTTAAAGCGATTGAACTTTGTCGGGATGGTTTCCAAAAACTGCATCGAAACACCTTTTAGTTGATGCTCTTAGTAGCCGTATTCAGTACTCTATTACTCTTACCCGCGTGTCGTTTTCTAGCAGTTTCAGCTCGAAATATGGTAAAATATCAGACCGGTTGTTTATCAACTCAAACGCCATTTGCATTGCTGTGGTGATACCAGCACCCCACCAAGAACGTCCCCCAGTTAGAGGAGCCATTGATCCGACGTACAGAGATACTTTCGAAGACTGTGATTTAGCTTGCGCAACCGTGAGGAGAGAACCGAGGAGCACTTGCCAAGAAAGCTTCATGCTAAAGATCATCTGTTATTTAAGATAGCGAAACCAAAATCTTGTTAATGGAACTCTTGTACTGAAAGCTGTCAAAATGGGGCATCCACAACATAATATGTATCACATGACCAAATTAGGGGCTTACCAATAAGTTTTAATGTTTCTTGTTTAAAAACATTTTCACTTGCTGTATTAACACCTGCAAAACAGTAAAAGAAATGCTATTTTTATTTATAACAAGTCTCAGTTCGGCACGGATTTAATTTCCATGCTGGAGCAAGCGGTGGCAGAAACTATACCTTCAGTTACTCTTCGTCCACTACTCTAAATCATTTTTCGCAAGTCGGCTATGCGATTTAAGAGTCAGTGCAAATTAGGCAAAGCAAGCCTTGCCCTTTTGTTCGTAAAAAAGGAAATAGGCAGCAAAGTGCATATATAGTGATATCATATTCCACAAGTTGCCCGAACAATCATTCGCTCTAAGGGGCCTCGCTTGCAATGCGACATTAAGTTTTAACATGTGTTCTGTCGAAATTTTTAATAACCTTCAGGAAAAACTTTATTATATCCCCCCTTCGTAATTAGTTGTCGCTGTACTGTCGCAATTTGTAATAATCATCGCACTTTGTAATACCTGTCGCAATTTGTAATAAATCCATCGCACTTTGTAATACCTGTCGCAATTTGTAATAAACTGTGTCGCACTTTGTAATAAAAAAGCTGTCGCAATTTGTAATAACAGTCTATCGCACTTTGTAATAAAATAAGCTGTCGCAATTTGTAACAATTCCATCGCACTTTGTAATAATTTTTTGAGTGTGATTCAACTTACTTCGTCAACATTAATATAACGCCAAAATATGCATGGTACTTCATAAACAAAGATGATGACGTCTGCTACCACGTAAAATCTCCGTAACATTTACTTTGGTCAAACATGCATGTCTTACGCTATAAATTTTTCTGCCTTGATTATTCACGTGACCAACTAGAAACGCTTTTATGAAAGACATGAAACTTCCTGTGACATATCACCAAAAAGAGATGAATCATGTTAAAATTCAAAAATATTTAAATCACTAAAGCAACATTTAACAACAGAAAATTCATGGATAGCCTGGCATTCGCAGTCCAAATCCATGTTTGCTTGCCAAGTGACACGAAAGTCGGGGGGGGAATATAATCCCATATATGGATGGGCTAGATAGGTAAGTACCGCTTGATAGGGTATGGTTTTTGGGGATCTCGAGCCTTTAATAGGGTATCATTTTTTACGTTGTTGGCCTTGTGTCTTTGGTTTGATCCTTAGTAGTAAGGACGTAGTAATGAATGGTTTATTCCATCCTTTCCATTTTGTGGAAAAACAGTAATCCAGAACACGCTCGGAAGAATTGCAAGGTCTTACGAGTTGTATATACGCAGGGAAAGATAATTTTTTACTATCCCTATGGTATTGGCTTTAGAGGACTCCTTATAGAAAACAATTGTTTTAAGATGGAATGAGTACTCCTTTTGTTCCTATATGGGACCATATCAAGTGAGAATAATGGGCCAAATGCCCAGCCGGGCTCAGTGTAAGACCCCAGGTGAGTGTTATAAAAACAGGTACATACGAAGGTGTTGGCCAGCAACTAATTGGATTTTGTGTTTAGGTTTCTGTTGTGGTTCGACGGTTTGCCACTGGTGACGTTTTTTTTTAATTTTTGCAGTAAACGTTTTGAATCTTTCCAGGCCTCGTTTGATTAATTTGGCCAAAATATGGAAGCCACTATTACTTCTTTAAGATTGCGCGTTAGACAAGGACGGTGCACCACGTGTTGTGTCGACTTGTTGTAAGATGGAACAAGGAAAGCTTGAAATCTCCTGGTGTCCTTATTCGAATGACGTAGGATGGAAGTTACGATTTGCGGAAATTAAATGCTTTTTAATAATGGCTCCTTTGTGTCTAGTGTGTCTAGATTCTGTACTCTGACAACGCTCTGTCCAGAGGCACATCCCCGTATTGGCCATATAAGGAAGTACACCGGCCGGGTAACCATTGAATGAAAACCACCTAGTACAATAGCAAGGTTTAAGAATATAGCATTTCGTAAGTCAGATAACTAATCAACATTAATCTAAAAAAAATGTTTAGGACGGTGAATAAAGTTAAATGTTTGAATGAGCGGAGATGTTACGTGCTAGCTGACGTCATCATCTTTGTTTATAAAGTACCATGCATATTTTGGCATTATATTAATGTTGACGAAGTAAGTTTGATTACTCTCAAAAAGGTATTACAAAGTGCGATGGAATTATTACAAATTCCGACAGCTTACTTTATTACAAAGTGCGATGGACAGTTGTTACAAATTGCGTCAGCTTTTTTATACAAAGTGCGACACGGTTTATTACAAATTGCGACAGGTGTTACAAAGTGCGATGGATTTATTACAAATTGCGACAGGTATTACAAAGTGCGATGATTATTACAAATTGCGACAGTACAGTCGCAATTTAACCGGGCTGACCGAATTTGTAACAACTCTTACCATAGTTTGTAATATAAGACAAAAACAGTGGAATATTTGTCCCGGGAGCAAAAGCACAGACGCTGCAATATATAGCCTATGGTACTTGGAACTGTTAAGCAGCTATCCTGTCGTCTCGAGTACGGGCCCTCTACCTGATAACAAAGCTTGGTGTATAATTTTGCAGGAAATATGATTCGGAGCTGGCGCCACTAATAATTGATTTAATGATCATTATGATAATGATACGATAAAAGCCATTGCCACACTATGCTTGAAATTTAACGATTATTTGCTGGTTAACTCTATTGTCATTAGTAGTCTATTTCTACCTGGACTCTGAAAGATATCAATTTTGTTACAACGCACCGGTACCTCTCACTCTCTGAGTAATCTACAATCTTGGACAAAACTGTTGAGAAAATTGCCTTCTTGGGGGTCATTTTTTCTAAACTTCGTAGCCGACCCATTCTTCCCTCCCCTCTCCCCCTGGAAGCAGTGTTGTTGGGTCTTCAAAAGAAAGCCGGATCCCTAAGCATTTGTAGGAAGCAACTTTGAACTGGGGGAGGGGGGTTTCTTTACGCAAAGCCGTTGATTTGGGAATAGTTTTGTTGCGTTAGGTAGTGCGCATTAATGAAAACATTTTCTCAAGTAGTTTTGTCCAGGATTGTATTTGACTGGAAAAGTCGATTTTCAGCATTTAACGCGGGCACATAAATCTGTTCTTTATTTTTTTCGTACATTTCACAGAAAAGTAGATAATTCATGGAAAATAAGTAACAACAGAGGAGGCGATGACAAGAAAATCAACTGGGATGTCTTTCTTGATACAAGTAACCAATCGTGAACGTCTGTGAATTTCATTTTCCACGCAGGGTTTTTACGCGCGCTTTGAGTGCAGAGGAGCAGGCATACATTACGGTTTTGGCGGACGAGAAGGACGTCTCCGTCAAGGAGATTAGCCAGAAAACGGGAATTTCACCTGCTACGATTCGACCAACAAATAACACATGAAACTTTTGCTGAAATTTCAGAGCGCGTGACCCATACTTTGAACAATTTTCCCATCGGCGAAATAGATAAAACAATCAAAGTCAATGAACAAGCGCTTGCCATTAATAACAACATCAAATGGAGAGAGGATGAAATATTAACAAAACTTGTATTTTTACTTTCCAAATTTGAAAGCTTACTTTTGACATTGTAGCGATGTGCAGTGCAAAAATCACACTATGAAATCTAGAAATGTCACGCGCGGTAACGTGACAAGATGTACTATCGTGTGACCTGTAAGAGTGCATGTTTTGCCCTCGGGCTATTTATAGCTACATATGACTGGAAGAAATTATGAGATAAATTCATCATTTGTAAAGCAAGAGATAGTAAAAATTGCCATAGTTGTCTTCTAATCTCTTTCTCTCCACAATATCTAAGATTCGGAACGATTAACAGGACATTTTTAGGGTGCTACCAAGATTCGCAACGGTTAACAACGATTAACACGGACGTGTCAAAAGAATCAGAAGGTCATTTACTTTTTAAAAACGAAATGGTGTTAACCGTTTCAATGCTTTGTTAATCGTATTATTATTCTATCCATGGAATTATCATAAAAAGTTAACCGATTTGTAGCAAACGAGGTTTCTGTAACCCTCATAGTTTAGCCAATTTTAAGATCTGAGAAGCAGTTTCCACGTGACGGGATACGTTTCCATATTGGCTTCACTATACGTCACTAAATAAACACTACGAACTTCTTTTCTTCTAAGAAAACCGTCATCCAAATCTTGTTCTGACTCTTCTGAAAACTATTAATCACTTTCCACACTTTCCAAGCCTGCCAGGTTTGAACAACACGAAAACATGTAACAATGAGCACGCGTTCTACGGCTACTGCAAAATCTTACTGTTTTAAGAGGGTGCAGCAAAAAAAACGTGTATGAGGTGGTACTTTTCTATGAGAAGAAGGTGTGCCGTGAAACTTTGTGCTTAAAGGAGCTTCTGTAAAGTGCTTTTTATTGGTAGGTTTCCGTTTTGTCCATGTTAATATTCTTGCTAAAAACGCGAATCACCTTATATACAATCTTGGACAAAACTGTTGAGAAAATTGCCTTCTTGGGGGTCATTTTTTCTAAACTTCGTAGCCGACCCATTCTTCCCTCCCCTCTCCCCCTGGAAGCAGTGTTGTTGGGTCTTCAAAAGAAAGCCGGATCCCTAAGCATTTGTAGGAAGCAACTTTGAACTGGGGGAGGGGGTTTCTTTACGCAAAGCCGTTGATTTGGGAATAGTTTTGTTGCGTTAGGTAGTGCGCATTAATGAAAACATTTTCTCAAGTAGTTTTGTCCAGGATTGTATTTGACTGGAAAAGTCGATTTTCAGCATTTAACGCGGGCACATAAATCTGTTCTTTATTTTTTTCGTACATTTCACAGAAAAGTAGATAATTCATGGAAAATAAGTAACAACAGAGGAGGCGATGACAAGAAAATCAACTGGGATGTCTTTCTT